GCAACAGCTTGGATTAGGCGTCCTTTTTCATCTGCACTGACCTCCTTTAGCCGTTTTTGGTGTTTTTCTTCCATTTTTAATTTTTAAATTCCCCACCGCTTCTGCACGAACACCGCCAAAGATTAAATTTCTTATTCTTTGGGCCGCGGCTAACGGCGTTCATCGAAAATTCACTGTCGATATCTGGTATTTTTTCTGGTATTTCCTTAGCTCATCTGAGTACCGCGCTGAAAAACAGACCAACGAAAAGATTTAGCCGCCTCTCGCTCACTCCTGTGGTTAGCTCGCGGTTTTCGTCGATGTGAGTACTACGCTTTATCGATAAAATATTGAGCTTTCAATAAATAGAAATGGCCCAACTCCTACAAAAGCAATGTACTAGCTTTGAAAATACCAAATTGAAAAAACATGTTTTAAATATATAATTTTTATTTTATTACACGTTTCATATATAGTATATATAGACTTTTGTTAGATTTATGTGTATGTATATATTTACATCTTAGTTATGCAACTACGCCAAATGTAAGTGTATCTAGGCCTAAATAAATATGTTAATTACGAAATTAGATTTAAAAATTGAATTATTTACGCCTTAATTTGCAGCTTTAGCGACGCGCCAGACCCTCGAAAATCTCTTATTCCCCTTTATGTCCTCCAACTTAATATAAAGTTTCGCTCTTAAAAGTATAAAAGTTTTTATCTAGTTATGTTGTTAGATATAAGCAATTACATATATTAACTTTAATAAAAAAGATTTTTAAATAAGATATTAGTTTTGTTCCTTTAAATAAGAGCATTATATGTACATATTTATGCACCATGTGTTATGCACACCTCACCTCCAATTTATTTCCCATCTTGGTGTAGCCAATTTCAAGCCCAGGAAAAGTCACTGTAAAAAGAAGGTATGCATGCGCTTGCCTTTGTTAATTGGGTTTAAATACTAACAATCTCTACTTCTCTCTCGTTTTCAAAAGCGGTATACGGCAATTCAGGAAATATTCGCTATATGGTTGATAATAAAACGAAATAATATTTGGTTTACCGACGGATAAGTCTTAAATGTGAAGTTAAAGTTGGCTGGCAGTGTAGCATATACATAAATAATAATGCAAGTGAAATAGAAAACTATTTCTGGACGATCCGTCCCTATCAGTTTTTCGGTTGCTTATTTATTTCTTCTTACGTATGTGGAGTGTAATGGGCTTCATTAAGAATATTTTCTGCTGATTAGATTATCGACCTTTTTGTATTTCACGTTACTCTAAAATGCCATCATTTCAGTTTGTGTCTGCATTGTTTCCCTATTTGTATTTTCCGGAAAAATGTTTTTATTCACTAAGTTCTTTGTCTTCGAATCGTGTGCGTTGTCAATCCATATAAGTATATGTTCCGACTTAAATACATATAATCGAAATCGTACCTTGACCTGGTTGTTATAATTGAATATATTTTGTTCATTTTTTACCATTTAAATTTAGATTATTACTGATTGCAAATGAAATTAGACTTATGGTGTCTCCCCTTTAATTTACTCTAAGTTTGATTAATGGATGAGGTTTGATAACTTAGTCAATCTGCATGGGTATTAGATCTCAATTTCGATTTGGCAGTGAGAAAAACTAAGCTATTCAACTCAAGTAAACTTAAGGATATTTGCCTTGTTTTGTTTTTTCTTACGTTTTGATAATGAAGCAAATAAAGGTCCAACATCGCGTGCTATAATTCTGAATACGCCTATGACTAGGCAAAGTTTTGCGATAAACCATTTACCTCTAACAAGGCCTGGGCCGTTTGTGTTTACCCCAATAAGATATCGTCATGGGCTGAAAGTACGTGAGAAACAAATTTCCATAACGGAATTAATATCTTGGTTAAAGGTATATATTTTGTTATTTTCCTGCTCATGCTCTGCTGCTAAGGTCTCGCTTGTAGTTAGATTTAATTTTATAATGCTTAAAACCTTTCGATCACCCTACATGTTTTGCCCGTCTGCTTCATCATCATTTGTTTTGCTTGAGGTAGTTTTTCAATTCAGGATCAATATCTACAAGTTAAACACAAAATGCTTTTAATTATATGTGAGTGTCAATCAATTTCTCTTAGGGTTATAGGGCTGATTGCACGGTCGTGGTCATGGTTTCTACATAGTTACGACTAGGTATTAGGGAAAAACAAGTTTACACATAACAGAAAACAGTGCATTAAAATTAAACATGGTATCGAATTTAAAAAAACTACATAACGATTTTTTTACGTTTCAGCTCTTGCTTTGTGGGTTATTATTGGTTATCTCCTTTATATGAATGGATCTGTCAACAAATTTTTACTTTATACCATATTGTATTTTCGTAATTCATCAGGTTGCATTATTTGTATTTTTGTTATTTTCATTCTTTGTTTTTATTCTTACAGAGCGAGAAATATAAATATATATTTATTATTTTATGCATATGTACAGGTCTGTGGCGTGCTATAATGTAATATTTTTTTAAAGATTTAGCGAGGGTCTATCGAAAGTGTTTATTATGCTTGCCTTATACTAAATAGAATACTCGACTTGGGAATTGTAAATCGAATCGCTAAGACTTATCCGCTCCCTGACACATTCGGATTATTGAAAATGTCTTTAGCAAATAAATGTTATTTAAACATTTCATGTTAGTGCTATTATATAGCTTTATTCTGTTTCATCCAATGAAAAAGAAACAAATTAAAAAACCAATGTTGAAAAGGTACAAAACTGCTTTCCGCTTACTTGTTATTCCATTTTTAATCTGTTCCTTTCGTTCTTAGCCAATTTCACAGCCATTTGCATCGCATGCAAATATTATTCAAATTCTGAATTTTTAGCTCATAAGTCTTTCACTCACACCCAATAATTTATATCTTTTCCATAGCCAACAAAAATAAAACACATGGGATATGACGAACAAATATTGGGCAAAATAAAAACACTAGGGCTTGGATTTTGTTTTTTGCATATTTTTTGTTGTCTTAATTTTTGTCGTGTTCAACATATATTTTCATACATTTAAAATATTTTGTTTGTCGTTATTTCTTCCACTTGTGGCAATTAGGAAAAAATATTCCGCATTACGATGTAGTTTGCTTCTTTTACTTTACAATATGTGTAAAACTATAAAACAAGGTATGCATAAATGAAGCTAATGTATATTTGTATATTAATTGGTCGTACCCGAGTGTACAAGCTAGAAAGAATTGAACTTAAGCCGATTTTAAAAAATAAACTTTTAATGAGTTTGATGAGCTGGGGATTATCGCTCTGGATTTTCCCTCTGACCGATTACGATTTTTATGAATAAATAACTCACTGCTTTTTGTTTGTCAAAGTGCAGGCTACATTTAATTCTCTCTTTTTAAAAGCAAAGCGATTGTTCAATAAGAGTTTTTCCTAAACGTTCATGGTTTATGCTACTTTTAGTTCATCCTTACACAAATTCATCTGTTTAAATTAAGAATTCTTAAAAGTTTACATGTGTGGCTGTGTGTGTGTAAAATTATATTTAAATTAAGATTAGTAATAAAAGTAAAAAATTGCACAATTAAAGTAGAAAGCTACATAAGATGTTTTTTAGTCCTAATACAATAAAAGAATTTCACTTTTACCTTTACGTTTTATTTCATTTATATTATACAGTTTTTTTCATCTTCCAACACAAATATCTTTTAAAATTATAATAAATTTGATTTAAGTTAAAATAGGGCCAACAATTCTAAACAATGTTTTTAAAATGTACATCTCAGAGGAAAATAAAACTAATAAAACCTAAAAACTTGTTTAAAAAATTGCATTACATTTTGTTTAACATAAACATTGCCAAAGTAAATAAATTTGCACGTTCTTTTAATGTGTTTTTCATTAAATAAATTTTGATTTTTCCAAATTTGTTGAATTTTTCACTCATAAAAATAAGAATTACCAATGTAAATTTCATAAATATATATGAAGACTTTTGGTGTATATGTCTGTTTATATGTGTGTGTGTTTTTTATTAAAATGATTGAAAACTATTTTACACCAAAAAGTGTTTATTGAACTTGAAATCAATATTAAATATAGACTTAATACCTTTTGATTCCTTTTGGTTTGTGAGTAAGACTCCTCCAACCACTTCAATTTAATTATCTTTTGTTAAAGTTTAATATAAAAGTTTTGTTAAAAAAATGTCGAAAAACGATGCCAATATTAAACGATTTTCGTTTTTGCTTGCAAAGGTTTTTGGGTGAAAATCATTAGAATCTTAGAATTTAAATTCTCATTTTTAAAAAATATAGGGAGGGCATAATAATTATGATTTTTGTTTAGTTTTACTTTTTTGTAATATTTTTTTGCAGTTTGCCTTTCGTTATGAAATAAAATATTTATAAAATCAGTCCGAGTTTTGCATGTTTTTTTAGAGTTCTTTGTTTTCAATTAATTTAAATGTATTTAGTTATGGTGGATGTTATTCTTTTTTTCATAACTAATATTTTCCTTTAACAGATTTCCTCACTTCTCTTACATTAGAATTAAGAGTTATAGTTAGATATTATACAGTTGCTTTCATTAAGTTTACAGTTAGTACTTATTATTTCACATATTTTTAAAATATAAACAATCTTTATTCTCTTCTCTCTTCTCTCTTGTCTCGCCCTACTCTCTGTTCTTTTTTCTGATCTGTTTCGTATGCAGTTCAGAGCATCAAATTGAATAACAAAATTCGAGAATTGATCGTGAGGAATAGAACATCCGCCCACCAAAGAATTGATACTAAACTTCAAGATTTGTAACGGTTCTCTTTGAAATATATGTCTCTCCGTTTCTCAACGCTTTTGTCCAATTGTTGTTGAAGCTTTTCAAGTAAGCTTTTGTATGTGTTAATAGGTTGTGTTACCTGTTAATTCGTAAGAATAAAAGATAAACTCTAATATTTGCAGGCTTAAGACTAAATAACTGCATTTTACTCTTGTCCATTAATTATTCTCTTCTTTTCTCACTTTATCCGCAACGAACTTGCAGGGATGGAACTCCCATGGAACTGCCCCTGGATCGGTGTGGGTTCTTAATCCAGCAGGACTCCGATGGTCTGTTGGTGACGCTGTGACTGCGTCTGCTATGCCGTCGTCGAGTGCTCCGATTTGACAGACACTCCGCCGATGAGCTGCTCCTGGTGCGAGTGCAGGGCCACACCCATCAGGGCCATCGCCGTCTGGGCGTTTGCATACATGCTGACGTTGCCGCCCGCTCCGACACCTACTCTAACTCCGTTGCCCATCACCACCGCAGGTGTGGTGGAGGTCGCAGGAACAGCAGCTGTGATGCTGCTTGAGGAGGTGGTCGCCGCCGTGATGGATCCTATGGACCTACTTGCGCCAATAAAGTCGCTGCTCGTACTGACCGCCGAAACGGAACTAGAACCGGGAACGGTGGCGGGCCCGGAAACCGGAAGAAGCTGTGGCTGCGGCTGGAGCTGCGGCAGGAGCTGGGGCTGGAGCTGGGGTTGGAGCTGGGGTTGGAGCTGTGGCTGGAGCTGGGGTTGCAGCTGGGGTTGCAGCTGGGGCTGGAGCTGGGGCTGGAGCTGGGCTTGCAGTTGGGGTTCCAGTTGAGGTTGTAGCTGCGATGGTAACTGCGGTTGCGTATTGTTTTGGGTCTGGGTCGGAGGCTGGGGTTGGTGGTGGGCCGCGGCTGCCGCCGCCGAAGTGGAGGCGGACTCGGAGTCGATGCTTGCGGTTATGGCGCCACCAACCGAGGCGCGCATTCGCTCCGCCCGTTCGAGTCGCTCGTTCTCCTCCTGTGTAACCTGGAGGTGCGACTGAACCGAGGGAGGGATTGCGTGCACGTCCCAGATCTCCTCAAGGAACTTGGGCAGCTTGCGGTTTTTAAGCTTAAGCGAAAAGCACATCTCGGCGTTCTGGTTGCCCAGTGTGCGAAGCTCGGTGAGGATCGAGAGCAGCTTAGCATAGAAGACGAGGCTCATGGAGTCGCCGCAGTGGCGATTGAGTATATAAATGCGTAGCGTGTCGATGTAGTAGCTTTGGATCGCTTCGACTAGTTGGGCCTTCTCAAGGCCCGGCCGGTCGGAGAAGATCACAATGGCAGTGAGTAGCGCGTATTCAACGTTGTCCACCTTCATCGAAAACATTTGGCGGCAGAAATGCAGCAGGTCTTCAATATTGTCAGCCATTCCGGCCATTTTGTACGAATCCCGCGTATAGGATCTGTTATTAGCGAAGAATATGGAGTCCGAGCTGTGGTCGTAGCGGCGGGCCATACGCAGCATCATCACCTCCGACGAGCATGCCTACGAGAAGATGAGTTGGGCCTTAGTCTCTTCGCTTTACCACTGTTCTTGCAATCCTACTCACCTTCAGTAACGTGATCTGGTCCTCCTGGGGTATCTTTGTAAACGCTGGTAGACCTTTAGCAAACTCAACAATTAGCTGCACTGTGAGTATGGTTATCTCTGTGATGTGCCGAAAGCTGACGTCTGTCTGGCTTTCGTTCTCATCGGGTTGACTCTGCAAAGTAAAAAAAATCATTTCAGTCTTTACAAATGTATATGGAAGATCTCAGTGAGACTCACCATTATACGTCTGAGATCCTCTTCGGATGGCTGCTCGTAGCCATCCTGGTACCAAATTAATTTGTATATAACGGCCAACTGATTGTACGTTAATGAAGGTATATTGCGCGCTTGACACTTGGCCAATATTTCATCAGGTAGTAGCTGTATCGGAAAAACAAAAGGGTAAGTGCGACGAAAAAACCTGATAGAGCGCGATAGGTATTTATCTTTATAAATGGCGTCTTGCTATCAGCTTTGTAGAATAAAAGGGTACACTAAATTCGTCGGAAAGTATGTAACAAGTAGAAGGAGCCGTTTCCGAACCTATAAAGTATATATGTTCTTGATCAGGATCACTAGCCGAGTCGATCTAGCCATATCCTTCTGTCTGTATGAACGCTGACATCTCGGAAATTATAAGAGCTAGAATTGTATGATTATTTATTAATTATAACATATAACACTCTAGCTCTTATAGTTTCCGAGATCTCAGCGCTCATACGGACAGACGGACATGGCTAGATAGACTCGGCTAGTGATGCTGATCAATACTATATATACTTTATGATTACTCTACGAGTAACGGGTATAATAAAATAAATAATTCCCTTACTGGAATAGTGGCATGCTGTGGCGCCTCGCACGTCATCAAGTCAAGAATCTCCTTCTTAACGAAGTCGTGGGCATTGCCAGAGCCCACGCTGCCACTGTTGCCGCCGTGCTGGGAGCTGGGTGATGTGGTCATCTTGTCCTTCTCCTTCTGGGCCTTCTTCTCGCGCCGCTTCATTGCGCACTGGTTCTCCGGAACGACGCACTCCGGCCTCATGCCCACGGCCAGGCACTTTTTAAGACGGCACTCCTGGCACTTGCGTCTCATGTACATGTCCATTTCGCAGGCGCGCCCGAACTTGCAGCAGTACACAGCGCTTTTCGTCACGCTGCGTCGGAAGAAGCCCTTGCAGCCCTCGCAGGTGAGGGCGTTGTAGTGGTATCCGGAGGCCCGGTCGCCGCACACCAGGCACAGTTCCTCCTGAACCCGCGGCGCAGGACCTTTCTTGCTTTTCTTCGCATCGCAGCTCTCGTTCGCCGAGTATCCATTCAGGCTGCTCGAGGGCGAGAGATCATCGCGACCTATTGACGAAGAGAAGGGGGAAACACATCTAGTTAGCATGGATTCTTTCAGCCGCAATCCATTAAACATTAGACCCAAATAAATATATTTTCTTTGGCGGAGATCTATGTTCTCCGCCATTTGCATGTTTTGCAAGCTCCGGATTGGAATATAACTCGTTTGCTTGGTTATCTGCGTCGCTTTATCCGATACCTGGCAAGCGAAGTTTAGCGATGTCCACCACAGCCATTGCCTCCCGAGAAATTTAAAATTCAATTAACGTTGTCGCTCAAAGTCAACGGTATAGGGCACAAATTTATTATATTTTAGAAAACTAGAGAGAGCTCCTACACAGAGAAAGTAAAATACTAAAACATGTCATCTATCCGGTATTTTTATTACCCTTGCAGAGAGTATTATCATTACAGTCAGAAGTTTGCAACGCAGTGAAGGTGGACATTTCCGACCCCATAATATATATATATATTCTTCATCAGCATCACTAGAGGCGTCCGTCCGTCCGTCCGTTTCTACGTAAACTAGTCTCTAAGTTTTAAACCTGTCGGGCTGAAACTTTCCCAAAAGCCTTATATCTTTTGCAGGTAGTATATAAGTCGGAACCAGCCGGATCGGAGAACTATACCTTACAGCTCCCATAGGAATAATCGGAAAAAAATTTAAAAAAATATATATTTTTGGTGTTTTTGTACCCTTGCAGAGGGTATATTGCAAGAAGAGTGGAAGAAAATCACCCATCAACAGTGCGCACGTCTTGTGGACTCAGTGCCAAAGCGTTGATCCGCTCTTCTTAAGCAGAAAGGTCATCCCACTCAATATTGAAGTAAATTTATTAAAAGTATAAGGAATATTGGGAAAATTTTAACTTTTTCAACCAATATGTTCCAGGTGGCTTAAGTATGTGAGCAGGACCTTTTGGAGATGGTCTCAGATTTTTTAAGTTTTTCGTTGAATATATATTTTTATAACTTGGTTATTCTTCTATTAGAACACTGATATATAGAACTAATGTGACACAAAAAATTGGAGCTGTGAAATAAAAACTTTTCTTAATTTTCGTTTAAATTTTTGGTTGAAGTCTTGTGGCTTAAGTATATGAGCACCACTGTATATATATATATATATATATATATATCCGTCCGTCCGTCTGTTTCTACGTAAACTAGTCTCTCAGTTTTAAAGCTATCGGGCTGAAACTTTCCCAAAGGTATTAATTCTTTTGCAGGTAGTATATAAGTCGCAACCAGCCGGATCGGGCAACTATATCTTATAAATGTCCACGTGGACATGGTAACAATTTAATTTTAGCCTTTATGTTATTTATTCCACTTTTTAATAAGAAGAAAAAAATTTCAGTACCAGAACCAGATGGATCGGACAACTATATCTTATAGCTCCCATAGGAATAGTCGGAAAAAAAATGTTAAAAAATTATATCTATGGTGTTTTTTAACATATAACCTCCGAGGCTTGGAAATTACATTTTTTAATTAGTTTTGAGTTTCGAATTAAATTTTATCAAAATCGGACGACTATATCACATAGCTGCCATAGGAACGATCGGAAAATTGGTGGGAAAATATTATGAAACAAATTATAGCTTCGGTGTTTTTATACCCGTTACTCGTAGAGTAAAAGGGTATACTAGATTCGTCGGAAAGTATGTAACAGGCAGAAGGAAGCGTTTCCGACCCATAAAGTATATATATTCTTGATCAGGATCACTAGCCGAGTCGATCAGGCCATGTCCGTCTGTCTGTCCGGATGAACGCTGAGATCTCGGAAACTGTAAGAGATAGGCTATTGAGATTTGGCGTGCAGATTCCTGAGGTTCTTACGCAGCGCAAGTTTGTTTCAGCCGAGTGCCACGCCCACTCTAACGCCCACAAACCGCCCAAACCTGTGGCGACCACAATTTTCATGCTAGATAAAAAATTTTAACTGAAATGTATTGGTCTCGTCAATACCTATCGATTGATAAAAGAAAAAGTTCGCCACACCCACCCTAACGCCCATAACGCTTAAATCTGTCTTCCGCCGGTAGGTGGCGCATTTTAATCTCGCTTTGCTGCTTGCATATCTCCATTTCCCTTTGGTCCCATTAGCTGAGTAATGGGTATCTGATAGTAGAGGTATTCGACTATATCGTTCTTCCTTGTTTAACATATAACCTTCTACGCTTGGAAATAACATTTTTTAATTAGTTTTGAATTTCGAGTAATAGGGTGTTTTTCCAGATTGATATGCGCAAATATCAAATTTGTGACAAAACTATAGTATTAATAATAAATGTACGGTATTTTTCTTTTCAAACTGATATTCTTTCATATAAGTTTGCAATTCGTATATCAGATGGATATAATTGTACTGTCAATATTAACCAGTTTTGATTTTTCTTTTTTGCTTCTTTTTTAAAAAGGAATATTGAAACCCCTTCAAATTTGCATAAATTATTTATTTTCAATATATTTCGGTTCAACTACAAACATATTTCGGGGACCTAGCAATGTATGGCCGATCACCCTGAACTCGGACGACTAACGTACATATGTAGGTGTACAACAGCGCGACGAAGTCCTTCTCCTGTGTTCGATAAATGTCTCCCAGCGAAGTGGTGGATGCCAAATTGCCCAGCTCGGCCTCTTGGCCAGCCATTTGACTTTGTGGTAGTTCAGTGTATGTAGCCCAGCCCCCGAAAACCAAAGAGTTCGAATTAGACAAACATGAAGTAAATACAATTGAATGAATATGTATATATATGTATAACTGTACTATAAAATAAAATGAAAAAATATTTTCCTTTTTCTGGGACTGGGTGGAACGGGTTAAAGCTCAAATGTTTTTAATTTGAGAATTTAGAAGCTCACTACCAAGAACTTGTTCTTAATTTAAGCGCTTGGCATTTCTCAGCTTGAGTAGAGGGGATACTCGATTCTAAAATGCAATCCAACAATTTCTTAATATGAGTGCAGTTTGTACTCATATATTTAGGAAAATGTTCAAAAAAGTGCACATATGTACTCAATTTAGGTACGTATTTTTAGGAAGTTTATACTGATAGTGAGTGCTTTGCACTTAAAATCAGAATTTTTGCTGAATTTTTGAGTACAATAATTCTCAACCTGAGTGCAAATTACTTGAATAAATCTGTCTGTGTAGCTTTTACAATTACCGAGATCTCAGAGTTCATACGAACGGACAGAACGTCGGTTAAATGGACATGGCTAGATCGACTTGGCTTGTGATCCTGATCAACGCATCCTTTAACCTATTAAATACTTTCCGACGAATACTCAACGATACTCTACGAGTAACGGGCACACTCAATAAAAAATCAAGTATTTCGTGCTTGAATCAAGTATTTTCGGTGTCAAAACTTCGTCAAGAATGGAAATTACGGAACACGAGAACAAAATGCAGCTTTCAAGCACGAATTTTCAAGACCGAAAATAATATGTTTCTGAACCTTTCCGTCTACCATAAAGTATGAATATTTCTTAAATCTTATCATGTTTGTACTAATGAAAAGAAAGATTTAATAATAAAGTAAGAAAGTTGCAGGCATGATTTAAGGACGAATAATTCTTAAATCAATATATGTATGTTGTAAACTTAAATTGGGTCTTAAATATATTCTAGTAAGAGAAGAGGTATTGAAAACTGAAATAAACGAGTAAAAATAATATTAATATTTTAAGTTTACTTACGTCTTGCCGTTCACGGGCATTAACACTGTGTAATTTATGCGCTATATACCGAGCACTTTCAGAAAAAACAGTTGGGAATTATTAGGTATTTGAATCGGACATTTCCTTAATTTAACTTAACTTTTTCAGCACGAACGTTCTTGAATCGTTCTTGAATCAAGGCTGTTTGTACTTGATTTAAGCACGGTGTTTTTAGCTGAGTGTACAAAAATATCCCAAGTGACGCTATTACATCAGTTTTGAAAACAATGGTGCAAGTTCAAACCGGAGCCAAAAGTTTAGAAATGGTGTTCGAGATAAAAAAAGTAAATGTGAGTGAATAATTTCTAGATTTGTAGAAAAAAGTTATGCGGTGGTGAAACCCTTTAAATGATTTTTTAGTCACCATCCATAAGCCACCAAGGCCCATCATCGATTACGTTCAAAGAGGGGGATCAAGAACTGTGCATTGCGTTGGAGCTACGTTATGCGAATAGTCACGCCTGCAACACTCCCAGAGATAAAAGAATATCAAGTGCAAGTTTTCCCCACCAAGGCACTAACTATGTGCCAGGGAAGGGCCGCTGGAAAGAGACTGGATGGGAGGGGAAGTGGGCGTTGGTAGCGCATAAGTACGTGCTGCAGTTACAAAAGGAACAGAAACAGCCGCAGGAATGACAGTGATAGCAGCAGCAATGGCAATAGAAGGCTGGCCCAAGGCACGTCTCAGACTCTTAAGTAACGTACCAGAAACAGAAGGAATCGAAGCCAAAGCGGCTAAGACGTCACTTGGCCACAAAGGCACCCTCCTCGTACTGCTGCGGCATCCCTCTTCTCTGGCTTCAACTGCATCCGAGTGCAACGCAGTGCATTGTCGGCCTAACACAGTTTCGAGCAACCGTTTTCCCCGCCTGCCCACAAGTCACATGGCCATAAATATTACCCATGCGCCCCGTTGCCTTGGCTCGCGGCTACTTTCCCTCCCCTCCTGCAGTCGCCTCGTTTTAATTTCACTGCCAGCCAGGGAAGGAGCCCGGGAAAGCGCAGAAAATGAAATAAACGACGGCGTCATGCAAACTTTGTCTGCTCCAGCGGCTCATGGAAAATTGAGAATGGAAAATGGGGAGACGCCAACTTGACTGCGTTTTCACTGAACTGGAGAGCCAAGTTTGTGTGTGTGCGCCAAAGCCAAAATGAAGAAAATGGTTGTTGCTTTGGCAGGGAAATCGGTTGCCCAAAAGTAAAAACCGGCTTTGGTACCCTGCTCGTCTAAACTGGTCTCGGAAGAAGGGGGCTGAGTTCGTCCCACGGGATCGCCGCTGCTGATCCGATTGAGCAGAGGTAGGTAGACGTGAGGTGACTGCACCTACAAAAAAATCTTTGAGTGTCAATTTAATAAGTGTGGGTGAAAATAACACTACACGTAGGATAACATTTTTGGGATCATTTTGAACCTAAACAAGTATCAAAAGTATGAAGTAAAACGTGTCATTTGGCTACAAGCGTTGATACTTCGATACCGATAAAAGCTTTTTTTGATTGCTTGAGTTTCGAACTGCGCTCAAGTATCGGTTATCATGGCGTTTGCCCTAAACACCCGCAGGAAACGTTGTGCGATGGACCAATGGGTAAGGTGTCTGTCTCTGATGCAGAAGGTCCATGGTTCAAGTACGCGCCGATGCAAAGTACGCTGTAAGACTTTTAAGAATAATATCTAACATTTCCTTATCAATTGTGATAGCAAAGTTGTATTTGAAACTTTTTCAGATTTCAAATAAACAAACTAAATAAGTTTGCAAAAAGCGGGACTCGAACTACTAACCACCAGTCCAGTGCATAAAAAACAATGCGCTATCACTCTGAAGCATATCAATATTTTAGTTTCTTGCGGCAGAATGCTTTTTTGTGACAAAAAGCTTTTTCGTAAAAAACTAAATAGGGGCATATTGATGACGATTTTTTTGGGTGTAGAAAAGCTGCACAATTACCCACCCGCGTGACGAATACTTCGTCCCCTGGAGGACTGAGCGTGAGTAACATCAACTTTGTGACTATCGGTAATTATTAGCCTGTGCTGAAATGCAACTCGCCCACAAACAGCAAACACACACAGACCCACAGAGGAACCACATTTCATTTTTCATCCATGAAAAGACATTTTCCATCGCACGCAATGTCCGCAGAAGAGCAAAGCGCCATTGAGTAACAAACGAAAGCAGAACGGGAATGGATGGAAAAAGTGGACGCCAGATCGGCAACAGTACAGAACAAAAGACACCCCCGAGTCCATCCAACTTCCTTCCATCCGCCCCTCTGGAGCTGCCAACGTTTGGAGTTCATTGTGTTATTGTGCTTAGTCGCTCGGTCTCTGTTACACACCCATATAGTCCATGTATGCGACTCCGCCGACTAAGGGCAAAGGAAGTTCGGTGGAGAAGCAACCTGAAAGCTGTAGCCCCATATACATACATATGTATGTACATTGTACATCCATACATACATGTGTTGTAGATGGCCACGAAAGAAACTGCAGCCAGAGCCCCACAACTTCCAGTTCAGTGCAGGCGATTCGGACTTTTACGCTAAAGAAACAATGTTTTGAATACGTCCTTGACTTTCGGAAAACTAACTAAAGACGTCAGTAATAATATTGATTTTATTTGAAAGTCTAATATAGTACACTGTTCTTCAGCTTAGACCACTTGTGGCCAAAAGACACACGCTGTCTGTGTGGCGGCGACCGGCGGCAGAGACCGGTCAGAAAAATTCCCTATATCCGCTCTAGAGTTAAGTAGGCTGTGCACCACCATTGAGACTGAATTCATAGTCAACTATCGTTTTGTTCCCCATTTCATGAATTGTTTGCATGAAAAGGCATAAACACTGTAAACGACATTTTAAATTTTGTTCTTGTGTGCGTTTTGCTAAGTGAAAGTGTCAAAGTGTAAGTGCCGACCGCTGTTTTACGAGTATACTGTGTAGGTGAGGTGGCAGAGCACCAGCAGAGCAGCGGCATTTCCTATCTGGCTTATAACTTGGGCCCTGAAACAAAATACCTTAAGAAAATCATATTTTCATACTTTTATGATATGATTTACTTTGTCCGTAGCGGAAAAGTATAAAGGGTTTTCGCAGCAATACGGTTTCCAATAAGAAAATGTTAAAAATTTGAGGTTGGTATTGAATAGTAAACATAATTTATAGAAATACCATTCGGCATTTTATGTACCTCGAAATACCACCAAACTTGTGGGAAACTATAGACCGATTTGGGCAAAGCAAATTCTAGTTTGTACTTTTTTTCGGAAATTCAAGAAAGAAATTTACACTGCTACTGGTTCAAGTTAGCTTGCCTAGCTTTTTTGCAGGCCGCACAACAACACTGGACACCTGCAGCCTGCGCTTTCTGGCATCTCACTCACTCTCTCGCTGACACTCTCTCTGCGCCTCTTTGTTTGCTCGCGCTGTACGCCCTTGCTGGAAAAAACTGTAAAATGTTGATGCAGGCCTCGAAAGTATGCAGTTTGCCTTTGGCATTGCCACTGTCACTGCGGGCAGCGCAGTCGGCGTCATGAGCAGCCCACCACCCACTGCGCCGCGTGTGTGTGTGTGCGGGAGTGCACGAGAGCGGATTGCACGTCGCACGAGTTTCCATAGTGGTATAGGTAAGTTCTCCCTGCTGCATTTTGCATCTGTTTTGTCTGTTCATTTTGGCTTTTCATAGCTTTTTCACACACACTTTTTGTTCTAGTTAAAGAAACGAAACTTTTTGTTACAGCTCCTGTTGTTTCCGATGCTCCTGTTTTTGTTGCTCCCCTCTATGGCGAAAATGTCTCTTTGTATGCACTTTGCTCGCCTGGGTGTGTGTGTGCTGTGAATGCAATATTTTTAAGCGGCTTGCTTTCCGTGAATGCATAAAAAGGGCGAAGAAGAGTCAGCGGCAGCCTGTGCAAATAGCGCCTTCTGTGCAGAGAATAGAGAAGCAAGGCAAATAAGTTCCAAGGCGACCCGTCCAACCGGCCCGCGAATTGGCAGTCTAGTAGAGCCGCACTTATAAAAAACAGCCAGACAATAAAATCAAGCAGGGATACTTCAATGGTAATATCGATAATATCGATTTCCTCAATAAGGACTTTGTTACGTTTAACTTTATAGTGGGAAGCGGAATGTAAACGATGCAACATGGGAATCAACTTGATAAACGCAATAGTCATAGAATGTCACTTATTAGTATTATAATTTAAAGCAAGAACGAAGCTAAGGAAGATAGAGGTAGCTACGTCGTTGCATTCATTTGCTTATAACTTTTTAATGAATGGTCCGTTTTGAACTATTTGTAGATGGGTACATAATGGGTATATTATAAATAGTTAAAGTGGGCGTGGTTCTCCGACAAAACAATTTTCCGCGTTTATACGGACAGAAGGACGGAGATGCCTAAATCGACATGGCTAGTGATCCTGGTCATGAATATAGATTCTAAAACGATTCTGAGCGTTGGAAAAATAATAGTTGTGTCTTAAACTAGCACTTTGCAAATCACCCAAATGTCAGAAATCCTTAACTCCAGTGCACGTTAATACCGTAACACATTATTGACACATTTTCTGTGTACATCATCGCTCGTCGCTCGACTGTTTATTACCCATGGCACTAAAATTTAAAAGCAAAGGCATTGCGGGCGATTACATAAAAGAAAGCCGACGACCCCAAGTCAAAACAAATTGAGCAGGCCCAACTGACCACCACAAGTGCAGAGTTTACCCACAAAGGGGATGATTGTTGCAGGTGGTTGGGGATTCGGGGTGCTGCACCTTGGCTTTGGCCGTAGCTAGGATGATTTGTGATGGCCAGCCGGTCGAGTCGCTAAGGCCAAAATCAACCTAGTCTAGGTAAACGTAGAACCGGAGTTGAAAAACTGTACCACAGAAAGCGCATGTCCATTGCACTGTCTGCAGCTCTCTGTCTCTCTCTTTTTCCTCTGCTCTGCCGTTTGTTTGGGGTTGCACACGTTTTTCTGTTCCAGGGGTTTCTCTAGTGCAAGGCTGCAATTTATTTTGCACGAGCTTGTCAGTTGTTAGGCACGTTTCGCCACCCCCAAGCCCCGAGAGTCCCCTTACGCCTTGTGAGTGCTTGGATTATATGGTTGAAAAATTGATTTTTTCAGTTCGTTGGCATGTTGCCGCCTGGCCATGTAGATTCTTGTGTTTGACCAGGGGCAGGGACACGGACAACGAGCCGGGAGAGGGTAGGGGCTGCACCGTGCGCAATAGGTAGCTGGAAATGATTTGTAACCTACTTTAAGCACAGGTCGACATTTAGACCAAGGGTCGTCGCATGACCTTTCGTGTGTTTTCCAACGACTTATATACATTTTTGATTGATCTTTTTGAAAAAAGTTATGGCTGGTATACATGGACTAAAACGCAACGAAAAAATTTTAATTTTTGAATACATTTTTTTCTACACTTTAATCAACCATGTGAAGGGGAGAGAGCAAGGTATCATTTTTTGGACCCCCCTAATGTACAATGTACATATATTATTTGAAAATGAATTAAAGTAACGTATTTCGCTTGCAGTCCTTGGAAGGACTTGGATGCACACTGTTTTAAAGGCTTTAAGCAGAACAATTTGAACTAGGTTCTACCGCCAATATACTACACTGCGAACTCCCACTCCGTTCCTTCGTACTACCCTGAAAGGGTTTCCTGCTCTGCCATTTGCCAACACTACATATGTATATACCATTTCTGTCCCACTGGAACCCGCCATTTTTTGCGCACTCCTTCGTTAATGACATGGGTATGCATTTGTATGGAACACATGGAAACAAACAGAGTCTCGTGTAAACTCGCAATGTTGTGCGATTTGTTTACAGTTTGCTTTTTATAGCCAACGCTATGTTTTATTTACGCTACTTTGCCCCGCTGCCCCGCTTACCAACACTGGCCAGCTGCAATCCCGACAGATATTACAGAAGAAGAGATCGAGTGGGACATGGTTGGAGGAGAGAAAGAAGCGGAGACGTTACACTTCTAGTCAAAAGTATAGCAATAGCGAACAATAGAGCTAAAAACAAATGGCAATGGAGAAAAGCCATTAGACACACAAAGAAAAGAACGAGCTAAAACAAAAATACAAAAAAAGCGTTGGAGAATAAGAGCTAAAATAGATGGACAAAGAAATGAAGAACCTTCGTGGTAGCCAGCAAAAGTGTTTCAATCGGTAGCTTCGCTATTTTGGGAGTGTTGAGACCTTCAGAAAAGGGCACTGGGCATATGGAAAGATATATACACAATAGATAACGTCATAAAAGTCAATACATTCTTAGGGGCCAAAGTATGATAAACGATATAAGATATATCTAGTATACCAAGCCAAGTGTATACAAAAAATTGGTTTTCATCGATGGGATTCTAAATAGCTTTTCATTCATGAGAGCGTGGTGCTCAAGTAAATATTTTATTTGCATACTTCCTCACCCTCGGACTCCACTCATTGCAGCGTGACTTGTGCGAGCAATGGAGCGTTCTCCTCAGCTGCTATGTAAAATCCAGCACACAACTTTCGTACGGCTTATGGGGTTGCAGACGCCGCTATTGGAGTTTTAGCGAACAGAAGTTTTAAATTAAATGGCACAGAACCTTAAACATGGTCATGGTAGAGCTTAATTGCGACCTTGTTGCGTTAGGTAAAAGTCGAGTCCGACTTTGCCCCTCTTTGAGATCCCGTCTGGCATTTCAATTTTATGGTTATTGTTATAACATTATCAACATGCTGTAATGCAGCAGTCAGCAGTCCAACATCTCTTTGCCCACTCGCCCCACGGCGATTTGTGCGGCTTAGTCGTCGTCTTGGCTTCAGACCTATTAAATATCAGTCACATTGTTGTTTGTCAGTGATTTTTATTGAGCGACACGAACAACGACACACTTTGTTCTGGGTTTGAGCGACTTACAATACACAATACATAAGATCTCGTTGCTGTATCTGCCTTTTAAAATAATATACGTCTGACAAGCGTGGACTAGTCTTCGTCCTGGAAGTCACTTACGTCTTCAGCAGACGGGGGAAGATTGGGTGACAGCGGATATCAATAGGCCGTCAGGGAGAGTGTGCGAAGGCAACTGCTACATATATACAGCAGTAGATTTGCAATCGTTTTTTTTTACTTCGGCGAGCAAGTTTATATACCCTTGCAGTTATAAGAAATGGTATGTTAGTTACGTCATTTTTAATATAGCACCACCTTTCTTTTTTTTCTATAGCGCAACCTTACCTATAGCGCCAACTAGCCTATAGCGCCCCCAGCGGCTTGGTGGCGTATTAGTAAAAAGAATTGATTTGTTGCACGTGGTACGCAATCTCTATTGAATAGCAAATCAGACGGGTAAGACGGGTTTTAATGTTATAGTAGTTTGTGGGGTTTAGAGTGGGCGTGGCATCCTGCTCATATAGTTTCGGAGATCTCAGCGTTCATACGGACAGACGGACATGGCGAGATCGACTCGGCTAGCGATCCTGATCAACACTATATACCTTGTATTTTGTACCTGTTTCATACTTTTCGACGAATCGACCCTTTTACTCTAAGAGTAACGGATATATAAAAAATTGCTTTGAAGAAATATCAGTATGATATGAGAGAACATCAGTTTGAAATTAAAAAATATTATACTGGTGTTGAAAACTTCATAGTTTTGTCACAAATTTCAAATGTGCGCATATCAATCTGGTATAAAAAATGCCCTATGGATTTGTTCGAAAAAATCAGTTTGATAAGTTTGAAAATATCAATATGATATGGCAACAGAAGAGTCCAAAATTGATATGAAAAAATACCCAATTGATGACCAGTTTTGGTATTTTATTTTCTCTATTTACCTGCAGTAGAAAGAAGGCTATTGTGAAGGTTTTAAACCGGTAGCACAAAAATGGAGAGACTAGTTCGCATAGAAACGGATAGACGGACGGACACACGGACATGACTTTATCGACTCTTCTAGTGGTGCAGATCAAGGATTACTGCTTTACTTTATGGGTTCTTAGATCTTGGAAACTATAAAAGCTAGAAAGTTAAGATTCAGCATACTGATTCTAGTTATTCTAGCGAAGGGCAAGTATATTTCAGCATGATGCCACGCACAATATGCGGCCCTCAAACGCTCATAACAATAAGTTTGGATTTGGTTTTGTTTATCATCCCTTGAGCTTTCGTTAGCTGGTAATAGAAGCACTCGAATATAGCGTTTTTCTTTGCTAAATCCTATGGACTTAAAGATCAGTTTGGTCTTTTTGCCCTACTTTTTAGGTCACGAATGGCCTAAAAATATTTGACAGCTAAAAACCGTTTATCTCACTAAAAAAACACACACTTATATTGTGTCCACGGTGTGAATCGATCCGGGATCTTCCGCGCAAGAGTCCGATGCGTTACTTACTAACTTGAACTTACACGCTCATGTTTTACATGGTGCGAATGCCCAATGTGTATGGCGTCTGCCTCTGATGTAAGAGGAACCCGGTTCGGATTCCCGCTAGGGCCAGAGTAAGTCAAAAGATTTCAGGAAACATATTAAAAATTTTTCCTTAGCCATTTTAACTATAATTATTGTATTGAAAAATAAATCAAATTTACTTATTAGAAAGGAAAAGGAAAATAAAACAAGAGCACAAAAATTAAAAATACATTGAAACTCGATTTTTAAGATATTTTTCTTCTTCTGTGTATATCCGAGGACCAAGGAATTGAACTCTACCAATGGCAGCCCTAAAAATGTTTATAAAAATTGGTTTTCTGATTACCAAAAAACAGACAATTGCAACCAAATATTCCGACCGAAAGGAGTAGGGCATTTACTCACACACTTAACAGCAACAAAATTAGCAAGAAAGGAAGTTAGCTTCGGCAAGCCGAAGTTTGCATACAGTTATAATTATTAAATTTAAAAATACAAAAAATTATATACCCAATAGTAAAGATAATATGTCAAAGAACACCGAAGCTGTAATTTGTTTCATATTATTTTCCCACCAATTTTCCGATCGTTATTATGGCAGCTATATGATATAGTTTTCCGATTTTGATAAAATTAAATTCAAAATTCAGAACTAATTAAAATATGTTATTTCCAATCGTAGGAGTTTATATGTTAAAAAACACCAATCAAATAATTTTTTAAAACTTTTTTTCGATTATTTCTTAAGGGGCTATA